ATACTTCACTTACATAAGGGCACTTAGAAACTAAAGACTTTGGGGGTGTGGGTGGACGATTTCCACACACAATGGAAAAACCCAACAACTTAATTTGAAAAGGGGATGAGGTTCAATGTCCTGTTGTGACCTCATTTTCTGTTTCTACCCTAAGAACAGAGACAGGCACATCAAAGGATTTTGGAGAAACAAATGAATGAAGCAAGAGGAAAAGAAACCTGATTTTGCTGAGTTACAAAGTCCAAGATACCTTACCAAGGGCTTCGTGTACCTTACTCACTTACTCCTCAACCCAACCCAGGAACGAGGGTTTAACTTTAAAGGAAGACTTAGATGGGCCAAGTATGATTGACCCTGTACAGATTTCCCTCTCCAACCAAAAGTGGAATAATTTACACACTATTTTGGGACTCAATTTACCCACATAATAATGAGTGCTACATTTCCCCTTTGGTCAACTTAATTTTTTATTTTATTTATTTATTTATTTATTTTTATTTTATTTTATTTTTTGGGGGAATCAACTTAATTTTTCTTAAACAGGTAATGGTGTAGGTGCGTAGTGGTATAGACAAGAGCTCGGTTTTGTTTTTGGCCCCCTCCAGTATTTCAAAGCAAGTTAAGAAATGTATTTATTTAACGCCATAACACTTCTCTGTAACATACTAGACAGAAGGCTCCAGAAAATCGAAACACTATGATGTTCTTGAGCATATGGTCATTTCTCAATCTTTCTTAATGGCAAAAACTGTGCAACTGCAACACAGAATCATGTAACTTGCATGAATTTCCTCTGTCCCTAAATTATAAAAACCACAGGAAGGAATCTCTAGGGGATTCAGAAAAGCCACCAAAAAATGAAACAATCTTGACATATGTTTAGAACTCTGCAATGCACTTACTTATTATGGTATGTGACAGCTGTGTACACTTCCTGCAGAAATTCAGGCCCATTGGATTTTCCAAAGATGACCTATTGACCAATATAAAAATGACCAAATTAACAGTGATATTTGGGTATATGAAACCAATCATCATCAGCCCAATAACACATTCTGTTCTCATACATCTATACTGTATAAGTTAAAAGTGCTGAGTTCTAGTAATCCAACTCCTAGGATTATGTTCCAAGAAACCAGAAATACCAGTCAGAAAGGATATATGCACCCCTATGTTCATAGCAGCACAATTTACAATAGTTAAGATTTGGAAACAGCCTAAGTGCCCATCAGCAGATGAGTGGATTAAAAAACTGATACATCTACACAATGAAATACTATGCCGCTATAAAAAAAGAAGGAACTTTTAACATTTGCAACAACATGGATGGAATTGGAGAACATTATGCTAAGTGAAATAAACCAGTCAGAGAAAGATAAATATCACATGATCTCACTCATTTGTGAGATATAATGATCAACATAATTTGATGAACAAGAATAGATCTATTTAGAGACCAATGGTAGGGAAGAGGGGGTTAGAGAGCTACCAAAGGACTTGTATGCATGCTTATTACAATAACCAATGGACACAGGCAATGGAGGCTTGCCCAGGTTGAGAATGGCGGGGGGGGGGGGGGGGGGGGGGAGAAGGGGTGTTAATCAATTGGGGAAAAATGAAACATGTAAAACTTTAGACAATGAAAGAAAAAGAAAAGAAAGAGTGCTGAGTTCTATGATCAGCCCAACCACATGGAGGCAAAATAACTGGCTATGAAGGGTGGAGTGAGGCCCCAAGGGCCACAGGTTTGTGAATCTGGAAAATCAGTGCCCTGTCCACTCTGCCACACTGCCTACAGGACTATATTTTTGGGCAAAGTCACATCTGTTAAAGATCCCTGGTCATGGCTTCTTTTCCAAAGACATGGGCCTGGTCACTGGGGTGATCAGAACCTTCCCTGGCACATGTTTGGGCTATTTAGAAAGAGACACCTCTTGGGCTTCATTCAGCCTTTATGGTGCATGATTTGTCAAGTGGACTCACCTCTGGACAAAGAAAAAAGAGCCCTTTTTACTAGATGCAATAATCCCTTGGTGATTAGAGAACAGACTGGAGTTTGGCCCCCACTCATCCCTGGCTGGGCACTTGGTTCAATTCAGGATTTGCATAACCAGACCCAGCAGCTCTGGTGGACTTGCCATGAGCCAGAGCAGAGAGAATCAGGGGAGTCCTTATCTAGGATTTCTTTCCTACCACCATTGTAAGAGAAGGCCTTGCACTGGGGAGGTAGATGAGGCATTAGGAGGATGGTTAAAAAAAAGAAGAAAAAAAATTTAGAGAATGGAAGCCCTGAAAAATATAATTTCAGTAGAAAGGTTTAGTAATTGAATTCTATGACTTATAGAAAATAGAAACAGCTAACAACTTTTGCAGCAGATGATTTTAAAAAAATACAAATTTTGACATTTTAGTTTTCTTAGAGAACGCTGCATGATATAATATTTATTACTTGATTTATATTTTCCCTCAGGATGAAGATCAAGACCCAAAAGGTGTCGAGGTGGCATGTGTTTATGATTCCTAGGTTCACATCTCTTTCGAGGTGGACTGGATGTGCGTAGTTGAATGCTGCCAGTGCACATCTGGCAGTGCAGCAAACAAGGCAGACACACTGGGCCCGTCTATCTACTTCTCATGCTGTGAGGGTGGCATGAACTTTATGATATTTTCCAGTGCTCTACTATAACCTGCATGTCCAAATTTCATAGCTCCTTATGGAATACATTAGGAAAGAGACTTGCAATGTAGACTGACCCTGTTTCCCCTTCAGCATGCTGGGACCAATACTGGACTCGCCACTAAGGCCTCTGCACAGGCTGAGTAGCGCTGTCCTGAATAGACAGACATACTCGGCATGCTCATGAGCCCTGGGTTCTGTCCGCGTAAATGGACAAGGGAAGTTCAGCACACCCTGGTTTGAGGCAAATGTTTACTTCTGTCTTTACCGGCATAGCGTTGCTCGGATCCTCTCCACACATGAACTGGATCTTGATTGTAATGTTCCGGGCAGATGCTAGCTTGTTAGTGAAGTTCAGTCTCTGTGGGTAGACATAGAGAAGGTTTCTGGAAAAGAGAAGACCGAGAACCAGTGAATAAGACCTAGGGCTTGTTTTAAGCAATCAAGAGGAAACTTTTCTGAAGACGGTTTTCCTTTCAGAAGTGAATTATTTTGGGAGGAGTGAGTGAGATACTGTCGCTTCTTTTCCCTCATCTGCAGTCATCGGACAATAACCAACAGTGTTCTTCTGTTGTTACCTACAAAGATGTGCCTGCTGCAGCTGAGAGAGTCTTAAGGTCCTGGGTGTGTTTCAGGTTTCTTTGGATATAATATATTCCCAAAAGTAGAATCTCTGGGTCATCAACCCGCTCTTTTATGGGAAAGACCATGTGGCAGGGAGAGCTGGTGTGTGGGTTAATCCGCCCTTGAGCTTCGAGTTCTGTGCCACATCCTGGGAGCTTTATTCACTGGGATGTGCTCAATGATCAGAGAATTGACATCTAAACCCTGAAGTTCAGCACTACTTTCTGCATTTTTAAGCACGCGAGGCAAAACTCAGCACTCTTTTTGGATCGCTAACACTGCATCCAGCCCCACTGTTTGGCCTGGACACCCCTCCCCGACCCAGTTCCACCACTGTGACAATGGAATGGCACACATTGCTTCTGTAAAGTGACATCCTTCACATACTCGGTGGCTTTTCAGAGATGCATACTCTTGGCCTGGGAAGTTTCATGTATGCTCTTAAAGTAAACACGAAGATCTGAATCTCTTGATTTGCATGATTTTCTGGGTCAAGTGAATAGAGAACCATTTTCAGAGATCATCTCAGGCCACTTATGGGAAGAGCAAATATTCTTAATAAACATGATTTTAATGGATACGTGATATCCTATATTATGAATGTGCCATAATTTATATTAGTCTCCAAGAACACGTATTTAGATGACTTCCTTTTTTTAATATTATAAAGCTGTGATAAACCTTTATATATGTGTATGTATATATAATGTATTGCCCTTCTGCAATGTAGTGTACTTTGGGAAGAATCCCATTTAATTCTATATAGTTCTTCATCTTTGAATTAATTGGAGAAACACCAATCAACCTTTCTTTATGCTGTGCTTGAAGAAATAATGAGCCCAAGTTTGTAAAATGCTTTGAAGTAGCTAGATGAAAGGGTCTGTGTAAATCACAACAGTAATAGCCTTGCCAGACTGGTTAAGCAAGTTAGCTGTCACTAAACTCCTCTCCTACATTCCAATACAGGGCCACCACCCACCTGTCTCACCCATCCCCCAACACTGGCCAACAATTCTGGACATTGCTTCCACAGGGGTTGCTGACTCCTACGTTTAAACACCACCACCAGGGGCATTCCATGTCCTACCTGGTACTGAATACACTTTCCACAGAGTACAAAGCTAAGGGACACTTTGAGAGAATTTAGTCCAACATCCCTTTCTGCAAGGCTAGACTCTCAGGGCAGTTAAATAACTTTGCCTAAACATTTTTTTAAGAAGATGCATTTTCCAATGTTCATCCTATTTCTTAATGGTAAATATACCAAGTGACATGTTCTGTTAAATCAGCATGCTTTTAAAGAAAGGAATATTAGAAAATAATGTTTTCTATTGGGAGGGAAGATCTGCCTGCATGGTCAATAACCCACAGAGCCTAAACTAGATAAGAATAATTATTAACAAACTGATAAACAGGTGCTTATAATTTACATGTGTTAAATTAAGTGTCTCATATTATCTAGAAAAAATCCTGAGAATTATATAAGGATTTAAAAAAATATATATTTTATTGATTTTTTACAGAGAGGAATAGAGAGTTAGAAACAGCGATGAGAGAAAAACATCGATCAGCTGCCTCCTGCACACTCCCCACTGGGTATGTGCTTGCAACTAAGGTACATGCCCTTGACCAGAATCAAACCTGGGACCCTTGAGTCTGCAGGCCGATGCCCTATCTACTGAACCAAACCAGTTAGGCTATATAATGATTTTTGAGAGAATAGCCCATAACCAAAATAAGAATCACTTCGTATAGCAAAATTATCTTGGAAACTCCTTTGGTACCTACAGGCTCAGTGTATGTGAAAGGCATTTAGTTTAATCTCATCTTTCCCCAAGAATAATCGTTTTCTTCAGTCATATGCATCACAACAAAGACAGGACATTTGGTACTCATCAACGATGTTCTTCCAGAGCTACTTCAGTGGCTTCTCTCGATTACAAACTGTTTTTGGAAACTCCAGATTCTTTCCACTGATTCAGCAATAGCCTCTTAACTAATTTATAAACGGCTGTGATTTAGCAGCTCCAGGAAGTTAGAGGATACTGTTGTGGAATTTGGTTATTCTTACAGCAAACTCTTTCTGCTCTTTACTGTCTTGAGACCATCTCCTACTTTCTTTGCTGAAAACAGGTTCCCAGTGAAATCTTTCAAAGCCACAATGCAAAAAATATCAGTTTGGCTTCTCCTCAGTTTATCCTATTCTTTATCCAGTGCACGGAGACCAAGAGAAAGACATACTCCTGTCCCCTATTCCCAAGATGACATCCGTGTCCTCTCTCAGGGGCTGCTGCAGCTTGGAGCGGAGCTCAAGATGCAAGTGAGCTACAGCAAAAGTCACATTGGCCACCTGTTCAAACAACTGGACTCTCTGAATTCCTCTTTAGGTGAGCTTCTAACTCAAGTCAGCCAGCAGGGGAGGAAGAAAGAGGACCTGGAGAGGAGAGCTGAGCAGATCCACCAGAGGAATGAAGACCTCCATCAGCTGGTTGCTGAGCTCCAGCATCAGATGGTTGCAGGGATGAAGGACAGAGAGAAATTCAATGAGAGGCTAACCTTGCTGGAGCAGAAGCATGAGGATGCTGTGTTCCTCAAGGCAGGTGGGCTTTCTCGGGCAGAAGTGATGGATGACATTATGGTGAGTAAATCATTATTGGTAATTTTAGCTGACCTTTATTTTATTGGAAATAAAATGGGATTTTAATACTATTTTAAAAAGTAATTTTAAGTAGAAATACTATTCTATTGGAAAACAGACTCCCAAAGTAAGATTCATAAAGTTGGGATAATTCTGCTGTGAGAAAGCCTGGAAAAGAAGAGTGATGGTGCAGATTAACCCTATTGATGCAAATGCTAATGTTTCTGCATTGCTGGTAATGGCAACCATGTTTGAATTAAAAAAAAAAAAAATTGTGTCACTTGCTCCCAAGAAGTGGGTGTAGGAACACTGGATCATGTAATAAAGCAAAAAGCTAGCTTTCTGTTCTCATTTTATGTACATGGCCTTGGGATTTCCAGAGAGCTAAAGGAGTAACAGTAGTTGTACAAAGTCAAACAATCCTTGGTGCTTCTTACCAGTATATATCATTTTAAAAGTGAGACTGCAGTGAATCAAATGGCTTGCAATCAGAACGTTGAGTGAAAATTCAGGATATAAAATATTATCTATGACGGCTGCAAATATTCAAAAATTAAATATGCATGAAAGGGTTAGGATTAGAAGATGTTATGGACAAATGAAAAAAGTAAATATGATTTTTTTAATGAAGTTGGTATAAATTTTGATTTTCTTTCTCTTATTTCAATACAAAAGCTATAATAGGGTACTAATATCAAATATATACTTTTTAAAAGACAAAACAAAAACTTGCTGATTCTGCAGCCTAGCGTATCTCTACAGTCTTTTGAATGCCAGTAATGCCCATAATTTAAGCTGCTGTTCTTCCAAGGAAGATGGGTTGATATGGAGACCTGTGATTAGTGGCCCTTACCACATAAGATAATAGGTGGAACAATCCTTTAAAACTAGTCTTTTTTAACTATTAATAGTTCCATCTAGTCACTAAAATCCATTTCCTTACAAGCATGTATTTGATGATTCCCTGCTGTGATCTGGGACTGGGCTGTGAGCTGGGCCTTAGTTCTCCCAGGATGATAAGCACAGAATCCAATATCTATGAACACTTTAGGATTACACAAAAATGTCTGTGCATTCAAAAGTAATCAGCTCCAAAATGCAAAAAGTAAAAGCTCAAAACCGAAACGAATGCATTTTAAATTAAATGCTTATCAACTGCAACATTTTCTCAATTAGTCAACAACAACTCTATTGAGTGTAACCTACAGGTGAAAATTACTTCCTCCTACTTTGCAGACTGCTATAAAGTTATATATAAAATATATATAACAAATGAGAAAGTGGGTGCATCCTAATATGTTTTAAATGATGTGGTCAGGTGCTTTGGGACTTAGGGGGCGATCTTAAAAAGGTTCTTGGATATAGATATCAGGAAGGAAAAGGATAAAAGACAAAGAAATAGATTTTTCTATTTTATTAGTTTTCTTCTAGCTTGATGGATTTTTTTTAATTGATTTTTTTTTACAGAAAGGAAGGGAGAGAAATAGCAAGTTAGAAACATTGATGAGAAAGAAACATCGATTAGCTGCCTCCTGCACATCCCCCCCCACTGGGGATGTGCCTGCAATCAAGGTACATGCCCTTGACCGAAATCGAACCTGGGACCCTTCAGTCCACAGGCCAACACTCTATCCACTGAGCCAAACCGGTTTTGGCAATCTTGATGGTTTTAAAGCGATCACTAGCAATATGCTCTGCGGTGAACCAGGCGTCTTCAAACTTTTTAAAGTGGGGGCCAGATCACGGTCCCTCAGAGAGCTGGAGGGCCGGACTATACAAACTACTAATTCCTACTGTAACACCTCGGCTGCGCTCACTGCCCAAAAAACCTGGCGGGCCGGATCAGACTCCTCTGCGGGCTGCATGTGGCCCGCGGGCCGTAGTTTGAAGACGCCTGAAGGCAATTAGCGCCTGGCTCTCTGATGAAACTGCTGAAACAGCTTTATACAGAAAAAGCTCGCCAACCTCTTCTGGCAATTTCAAAGTAATCTCTTTCCCTTTCCTTGTGCTTTAAAACTCTCCCTTTCCAGCCCTTTTTTCAAAGACAGAGTCAAAGAATTGATGAACTATTTGCGGAAGTGGAAATGCAGCAAAACCAACTGCACAAACGAGACACCCTCATTAAAAGGCTGCGGGAAAAGGTTGGTGCCTCTTACTCCCTTAGTAATTGGTTAACAGCAAGCGTTGAGTCCAACAGCACAAAATTCAGATGCCTACTAATATCACCAATATCTTACCATTATCTGGTGTCTTTTATTCAAGCATTCCAAAGAAAATTGCAAATCTCAATATTCTAGTTTGCGGTACTTTTGCAAGGTGAGCAGCTGAGGAGGTGTTTTTTACTTACCATTCCCACTTATTGCCAGGAACTTTTTATTTTATTTTATTTCTTAAGGAAAATGTATTTTAAATGTAATAAAAATAGCTAAGGTTTTTTAATTCTTACTATGTGAAGACACTATTCTAATAGTAGCAAATAGTAACTTTGATAGGTACTACAATGAGCCTCATTAGGAAGATGATAAAACTGAAGCGCAGATAGGATGCATAACTTGCAAGAAGTGACACAGCTAGCACAGTGCAATTCACATCTGGGTGCTCTGAAGCTAATACTCGACCTGTTGCCCATAATCATTGCTATTTCTAAGAACAACCATAAACAGTATCTTTGGTCAACAATCATTCTCACCAGAACATTATAATGTGGCCTTTTATTGTATTACTCACAAGGGCTAAAGAATGTTTCCGCAAACAAACTTTTTTTAAAAAAAAAGGTTTGAAATAACATAGTTAACTTAGAAGATGCGAATAACTACTGTCCCTCAGTGGCAGACAGAGGTTTTGATGTTTTCAATACATGAAGAGCAAATGAAGTTAGAAATAGTAGAGCTCAATATTTGGTATATTCTGGAACTACCTGGGAAATCTGCAAGCCAAACATGGCTATATATATTAGGTGGGAGCAGGCGCTGTGAATGCGCACTTGAGCAGAGCTAAGCCTTTGTTTGGTTCTCTAAGAACGGTCCGGGGAGGAGCAGCGTCAGCATCAGAACTACCTGGGCCAGTTAGGACTCACCAGTGGCTTGCTGAGTCAGAACCTGCATTTTAACAACACCCCAGGTGATTTCAAATGCACAGTCAAGTTTGAGACCTGGTCTTTTTTTAATTCGATGGGCACATGAATCTTATAATTTATTGTGTTTCTTTTTGTTTGCTTGGCTGCTAGGGAGCTCAAAGTCAAATTTGCAACTGACTTAAAAATTTTTTTCCCCATTGATTTCAGAGAGGAAGGGAGAGGGAGAGAGAGATAGAAATATCAATGATGAGACAATAAATAAAAAAATAAATTAAAAAAAGAAAAGAAATATCAATGATGAAAGAGAATCATTGATTGGCTGCCTCTTGCATGCTCCCTACTGAGGATCGAGCCAGCAACCTGGGCATGTGCCCTTGACCGGAATCGAAGCTGGGACCCTTCAGTCCACAGGCCGGTGCTCTATCCACTGAGCCAAACTGGCTAGGGCACAACCACTTTTTAAGAACATTAAGATATATTCTGCTTATCCAGATTTAGATCGATTTCCCTCTCCTTATTTTCTTTTCACCCAGAAAGTTTACGCTTTGTTTTACAATCTCCATAAGCTGCCTCAGATACCTTTTAGAATGGGAAAGTTTATAAATAAATGCACAAGCATAAAACATTAGCCATATCCTGTCTTGTTTTTATTCCTTGTCTAATGCCATGTCTTGTGTTTATTCCTATTTCTAATACTTTAGGTTAAATCAAAGCACAAACTCACAAAGGAAACAGTGAAAAATGGAAAGAAAACCCCTGCTGTGTAGGGTGTAGAGAATGTTCCATCTTCAGGAATCAGCATCAGGGCCCGCACAAGGCTGCCTGCCCGGGGAAATGGCACAAGAGTAGGAGGAGGTGCTGGGGGTGCTGTCCCAAGCAGCAGCTTGCCCCTCAGTAACCTCAGCTCTGGGGGCTAGGCTGCAATGTTTTGTGTAAATGCTGGCACTGTATTCTGGACATTGGGGACCTCTAACCTCGTCCCCCGCAACAAACAAATGCAGTTAAGTAACTAGAGACAAAATGTTACCCAAATTGTTTAGAAACACTACAATAAATGACCCAATATTCTCTCTCTCTAGTCATGTTATGTTTTTAAAAAATGCACTCTAAAACAGAAATCAAATGAGAGCAAGAAAAGCAAATAGAAAACTAGCTAACTCTTATACTTGTTATTGCACCACTTTTTAAAGATTTTGAAGGGAAAAATAATCCATTCTTTCCAAATTGGCGAACTACAATTTGAACATCCGATATGGTGTCTTTATACTAAACAACTATTATTACTACTAATAATTTGTCTTTGAACATGGACTAAATGCTTGCATATCCTACATTTTCAGAGTACCTCTTCTATTACCTCAATTCCCATCCCTTCTTCTTATGAGAAAGGTAACAATTCCTCTTAAGGAAGGGCTTGGAAAATCAGCATTCCTCCTGTTCAGTAAAGCAGGAACTCAAGCTGGGACAAAGAGAACGTTTTCTTTAAAAAACAGGTAAAAGTACCTGAGCTCTCCTTAAAATCCACTCACTTGTTTAAGAAAAGTCCAACTACTTTTCAATAGCAAAAGACCCAATAGGAAAGTTGGGATGTTTACTATTTTAGATCATATCTGGATCAAATTCACAGTGAAAAGAATCACAAATACATAAACATTTGAAACCTGCTGTGGAAAACTGACTACTTTAAGAAAAAAATAAATCTCTAGGCCCTGCTGGGGTAGCTCATCATGTATAAATGGTTAGTCAAGTGCATCATCTAGATACACTAAGGTTGCAGGTTCAACCCCCAGTCATGGCTCATGCAAGAAACCAATAAATGTATGAATAAGTAGAACAACAAGTTGATGTCTGTCGGCCTCTCTCTCTAAAATCAATGAAATGAAATTCTTTAAAAATCTAACTTTGCTAGAAATTTTTTGAAAATAATACTTTGTTGACCACTATGCTGTACACCTGAAACTACAAAATAATATTGAATATAAACTGTAATTAAAAAAAGAAATTAAACCATACTTTGTGGAACTAGCTGAAATTTTATGAATTAAGATATCCATATTACTAAATATTCTTTTGAAACACTGCTTACCAGATTTAATGTATTAAGTGGTTTACATATCATTCACGCCCACCTTAGTATGAATTAGTTTACTCGGTTCCTTTTCCTCTTACAAAGAGGACGGTAGGTGTGAGTGGAGAAAGGGTGATTATTAATCACGAGGCACTGATCCGGGGAAGATCTGGATGCTTAGGGTGACAAGGAGAGTGACAAAGCAGGGGCAGATGGGAAGATACCGAAATCCAAAGTTTATATTCCACAATTTTTTTCTAAAGCTTTTAAAAACTTGACACTGACAAAATAGTCAAAAGGCTCACGGGATAACTGCCTTTCTTCTAACTCCCAGCTATGCCCACGGAACCCATGATGTGGGTTATCTGGATATTCCTTGTAATTCCCACATGGGGAAGGCTCGGAATTTGTTAAACACATCGATCTTGGTTTATTAGAACCCTATTTTCAGTGTTCTTTTCCTAAATTAAAAATTATTTTGTTTTTAAAAAATGTTTTTCTTGATTTTTAGAGAAAGAGGAAAGGAGAGAGACAGAGAGATAGAAACATTGATGATAGAGAAACATCATCAATTGGCTGCCTCCTGCAGGCCCCCCTAAGGAGCCTGCAACTGAGGCATGTGCCCTGACTGGGAGTCGAACCAGTGATCTCTTGGTTCCTGGGCAGAAGTTCAACCACTGAACCATGCTGGCTGGGCTAAAACAACACATTTTTAATAAAAACCTACCCCAAGTAAAAACAGCACATACATTTCAATATTTGCTTTTACAAAAAAGCGCAAAAATTCAAGTTTGGAGATACCATTTCAATGCCAAATCTAAATGGGGCTGCATATTTTAAAAGACCGCCAGTCAGAATTGTCATGTGGACAGCTAACATGCACCAACCTGCATGTTCTTTTAAGGGACGGAGGGAGCACGTTTTTTCCAGGCTTTGCAAATAGTTTCCTAAAACAAATCTGCCAGCTAATGAAAGCACACACACATACCAGAAAGTTTCCAACTTCTGCTGCTGCTGAAGCTGACTTTTGTTTTTCTATTGGTTTGGGACAGAGCCTTTATGGGTGCTCAATCCATTAAAAACAAACAACGAATAAATCAATATTATTCGTTAAAATGCATGCCTGATCATTCCTCATGTTTTTAATATTGTTAGTTGCCTCGGTTTGGGTTGGCGTAGAAAGTATTGGAACTGGAGGAAACAGCTGCGTTACTTTAATGAATAAGAATAAATTGTCCAGATGCCCCACTACCTCCATCGAGAAACATATATCTGCCTTGGATACGTGGTGAGAGAGAAGGCTTGTTCGGGTTTTTAAAAAAATATATATTTTATTGATTTTTTACAGAGGGGAAGGGAGAAAGATACAGAGTTAAAAACAATGATGAGAGAGAAACACCGGATCAGCTGCCTCCTGCACACCCCCCACCGGCGATGTGCCCACAACCAAGGTATATGCCCTTGACAGGAACCGAACCTGGGACCCCTCAGTCCGCAGGCCGATGCTCCATCTACCGAACTAAATTGGCTTTGGCCGAAATTCATTTTTAATGATAAAAAATTCATGACATACAACTGATTAGTCATGGTTTCTAAAAAATGGCCTTATTACATTGTCAAAAACTCAGTCCTTCCCTACTCATAGTTCTATTTCGCTGTGTCCTGTGGGGCTAGCCAGCACTGCCTCCACCCAAACCCACTCTTTTCCTGGGAAACTGGTGGCGGTGACACAGCATGTAATATTTCACACAGAGCATTCTGACTTCTGGCTGAAAGGGGACAAGGGCAGCTTGTCTGAGGCCTTGACACCACAGGACATTCATTAACAGAGGGCTGTTAAAATACCTCTGCTTTAGAGATGGCCAAACACTTCTCAGAGGAGTGTGTGGATGCTGATCTTTGGGCCACCAATAAAATACATAAGAAAGACAAAACAAAGGATGAAAAAGCTAAAAAGTAGAAAATATTTCTACCCTCCCCACCAATAACAAAATAAATAAGAGACAACAATTCTCCGAAGGCTATCTTGCCAAAGACAAGCCACTTCAAAGAACTAATTTAAAAAAATAATAATTAAAAAACTAACAAAACCATGGAAATCAAAGAAAGAAGGCTTTTTTTTGGATTTTAGGAGCTTCTCCTAATCTAGGCAAACTATACCTCATCGTAATCAAATGCAAGTCCAGATTTGCCTTATTTTCATCACCATTTCTACTGCTTCTGCCCCTGACCTCATAATCCAAATTCATGGGGGTGGGGGGGAGATGTTTCGTGAACCTCCATGCTGCATTAGCTGTAAAGGCTCTGTGAAGAACGTATTTGCCAGAGCAGGAATTTTTGTTAGGACAGTTGTTAACAGGCAGTAACACAAAAGCATGGTCGACTCAAAATGAATGAGTATAATGTGGAGTTGTGATTTGTGGAATCGGTGAAATTAATGTCCATGGAACCTCCTTATCACGATTTCATTCCTGCCTCACCCACATTCTTTTAGTTCTGTATGTGAGTCAGGATGGGCCAATGTGTAAATATGTAGAGTGAACAACACCTCCTCAAAATGAGATTTCACTGTCTCTCTTACCACAGGATACGAATCTCAATGTGTATCCCTACTATGTCTTCCAAAAAGCCCCAGATTTCTAAGGTCATGACTTACTAATAAAAGAAGGCAGAAGCTGGCAGGTCAAATCAAAATGCTTTGCAAAAAATGACAACAGCAATCTCTTGGGACACTGGCACACTTTCCCGTGATTTTGTTTGTTTGTTTAGTGTTGGGTTTTTGGGTTTTTTTTGCTCCTACACTTCAAAGAGGAAAAATAAAATGTGTGTTTTCCTTTAATAAAATCAGAATAATTCCCTTTGTAATAGGACAGATAGCAAATTGCAGCTGAATCTAGAAAGTGAGCAAATTGTGCCCTCAAGTGGCTGAAAAGATAGCTTTGCAAAACCTGCAACGGCTGCTAAGTAATTTTCAGTAACTGGCTTCTCCCGAATTTTTTCATTTTTTCAAAGTATGCATTCTCACTATCTTGAATTCATTGCTGTGGGGAGGTTTTATAGACAGATTAATAAAATGTGAAAGCAAATCTCTATATATATAAGAGCACATTCCTCTTCCATGAGCTTAGTTCTCACTATATTGCTGCCCTTTGAAGTTCAAAACACTATAATTAGTAATGATACTATTTCTTACAAATTACTATAATGTATTACATGAATGGCAAAAACAGGGGAACTCATCTTATTTATTTTTAAATAAATAAAACTAAATTATTGTTAAAAGAAAAAAAAAAAAAAGGAAAAGAAAAAAAGGAGGTTGGCCAAGATTTGGAGTAGGACATCAGGTACATGGGGATTGTGCGCCTGGTTTATTATTAAGACAAACTTGCCACAGGAAAGTTAAGTTCAGGGTCTTTATAATCTGGATAATTCAGGCAACAGGCATCACTTTGCCTTTGTCTCCATTACTTGGCTAATTCAAATGATTGTATTTTGCCTGGGCTGCACTGCTGTTCCTAAATGAAGTGTTTGCTCACAATACACTTTGTGTTCCACAAGCATTTGCTTGCTAAGTTTAGTAAAACCAACAATACCAATGACTAGGCTTCAGAGGAGTGTTTCCAGGAGCCGATGTCACTGTGGACCTTTGCATGACTCCAGATTGAAGAACTCACTGAGACGAACTCCATAAAAGGGAGGGGGACTTTAATTCTTAAAGGAGGCCCGAGGCCTCACCCT